GAAGGAAGTACAAAAAAACAAACCATCCTAATTCTCTCAGATAGTCAAGCAGCCTTAAAGGCTCTTGATTCAAACATAATCAGGTCAAAGCTTGTCTGGAACTGCCTTGGAATACTAAATGATCTAAAAACCCACAACAAGGCAATAACAGTAGTACAAGTATAGAAGTACCGCAGCGTAGAATGGCCACATTTTCATTTTTTTTTTATTTCCAAAATTCTGTGTTAGAACACGGAATTCCTTGTTCAAACACGGAATTCCGTATTCAAACACGGAATTCCGTATTCAAACATGGAATTCAGTATTAAAACACGGAATTCCGCATTAAAACATGGAATTCCTTGTTCAAACACAGAATTCCGTATTCAAACACGAAAATCTAAAATTCCGCATTTAAACACGGAATTTCTGTGTTGAAACAAAGAATTGCGTGTACGAACAAGGAATTCCTTGTTCAAACACGAAATTTTATATTCGAACTATAAATTTAAATGGCGTATTTACAGGTTACTCTTGGGTGACTTGAGGATCTTGGGGAGGGATGGGTTAATACGGATTCTTTGAATATCCTCAGATTTGTACTTTTGTTGACTTGTGAAAAGAGGGAAGGCGTAAGTAGTACCAAAAGTCTCGTGCTCTTTGACCCCTGAACAATATTTTCCCTTTAATTTCATTTCCAGGTCAGTATTATTTTTTAGGGTCTAGTCCCTCATGCCCAAATTTTATTTAAATCGGATCAAAATAATACCATGTATAGCGTTTTAAGTTTACCCTCCCTGCCTCTCTAGCCCAGATGAAAAAAAGGGGTAACGAGAGGACATGTTTTCTAAATCCAATTAATTGTTAGCTATAGCAAAAAGTGAAGGAATAGGGACCGGTTAAGAATTTTTTTGCTTGTGTTTCTGATAAATGGTACTATCAAAAATGATGATGCTTTCTAAAAAAAAAACTGATGAAGACGTCATAATTCGAAAACTAACGACACGTTATAAAAAAATATACTTATACCAAAATATGCGCATCTTAAAAACAAAATCCACTTCTGAATGGAAATTGACAAATAATTATGTCCGTCGTCTATGGACATCGAAGGTCGGACGTTTCGGTGTTAATTGTTTTTTGATTCCCATTCCCCGCCAGCCTCCAAGAGCACCTTAAAAGTTAATTTAAGATTAAATTGCTCAAGTACAGTATTTGGGACAAAATTATAATGATTTTCACAGCATCCGTGTTTAAACACGGAATTACTAATTTCCGTGTTTGAATACGGAATTCCCTATACGAAAAAGGAAATCTGTAATTACGGGTTCAAATAAGGAAATTACCGGTTCAAACACGGAATTTCGTACTCAAATACGGAATTCCGTTGTCAATTACAGAATTTCTTGTTCGTACATTAACAACTTTGGAGTAGTAGATATACACCAAGCTTTTCATCTAATATACTAAATATATTACCAATTGTGTTCAATATTGCGGCAGCTGTACTCCGGCCTCTCTTACAAAATTCGTATGGTGGTGATTTAATGTGGATTTATATAATTTTTGGGCACTTGTCTGTAAACATATTACATAATATACTTCAGAACTTTGCTACATTTACCTGAAAAAATATCTCCTATTGAATTGGGTATCCCAAAAATATTGAGCAAAAATATTACAACTAAAATAAATATATACAAAAAAATGCAAAAATAAACAAATTTTTAATATTTGTACACAAAAAAAAATTCACTGACTGTTAGCTAACATTTACTTACTGCAAATTAAAAGTTGAATACTATATGAGAAAAGTAAAATGTTAATTTATGATGGGTAAAACGAGATTTCTGAAATTAATCACTTGTGAACTATTTACTCACTCGTAGTAAACTATTTACTTAGACTTAGTGAACTATTTACTCATATTTACTGATTTTAGTTATGTGGACATTAATTATGTATCTTACTGCTTCCTGATTGCCCAACAAACTCGAATGCAGCAAACCAAACCCACACGAACTGGAACTCTCAAAAAAGAGTCTCCAGCAAGTACAGGCACAAATGTTCAGTGAAACTATGCAGGTGAATATTCACAGGGGATGCCCAGAGGGTAGAGCCCTTCCTCCTCTATTGTAAAACCTAGTGACAGATGAACTGCTGAAAACACTAAACAATCAGAGGCTGTATGCCCAAGGATATTCCGATGACATAGTCATCCTTATCCGAAGGAAACACCAAACCACAGTCTTTGAACTCATGCAAAGCGCTCTTAGGTTGGAGGTTTTAGAAACTCCGTCTTTGTTTGGAGAAAGGCTAAATAAAACGAAACAAGTAAACTATTTAGGTCTGATCCTAGATAGCAAACTTACTTGGCACCAACACTTACTGTAAAGAGACGGACATTTATAAAAACATGGGGATTAAAACCAAAAATGGTGCACTGGCTATATTTGGCAATAACAAGACCCATTATAAATTATGGAGCGGTTGTTTGGTGGCCAAAAGTAAACCAGAAAACAGCCCTCAATACCCTCTCAGGAGTACAGAGGCTGGCATGCCTTGGTATTACAGGAGCACTAAGAAGTTTACCGACAGCCATTATGAAAATCATTCTAAACCTCCCACCCCTTGACCTAGTTATAAAGGGGGAGGCCAGAATGAGTGCATACAGACTGGAAATATCCAATAACTGGAACCCACTGGGACATATATAAAACATACCGGAATAACACATAAAGTAAATGATTCTATATTAAATATGGGATCAGATCACATGACACCCCTCTTAACCTTTAACAAACTCTTCCAGGTCAATTGTAACTGGAACGAGGTAAATAAAGAGATAGATAAATACTTGCTTAGTGGTCTCGTATGGTATACGGATGTATCTAAATCTAACGAGGGAACAGGCACTGGTGTATATGGAGTTACACCCAAATGCGACATCATCGTCTCACTGGGAAAACATGCCACTGTATTTCAGGCTAAAATACATACAATTGAATTGTGTGTACGAGAGAATTTAAGAAGGAAGTACAAAAAAACAAACCATCCTAATTCTCTCAGATAGTCAAGCAGCCTTAAAGGCTCTTGATTCAAACAGAATCAGGTCAAAGCTTGTCTGGAACTGCCTTGGAATACTAAATTATCTTAAAACCCACAACAAGGCAAAACTAGCGTGGGTACCAGGGCACAAAGGGTATCCAAGGAAATAAAGAGGCTGATAAACTCGCCAAAGTAGGATCAGATCTACCATTCACGGATCCGAACCTGTATTTAAGATAAGCATAACCTCTGCTCGACAGGTAGTGAATAGGTGGATAACAACAAAACACCAAATTCACTGGCAACAGATAAGAGGGCACAAAATCAGTAAGCTCATGCTAAGGGGACCAAACCCACGCCTCAGATATTCACCATTGTGGGATTACCAACGGGACACTGCTTGCTGAAATACCTTCATTCGATGGGATTACAAAATGATCTTACTACTTGTAGAATCTTCATGGAAAAGGAAGAAACCAAGAATACCATGTGATCTTCGAATTCGAAGCTCTTACTAGGCGATATTTCATCCTTTTCGGCCTAGAACCGGAAAAAACGCCCCAGGAACACTTGGTAGGGAACCTATTAAAACTAACCAAAGACACAGGACTATTCCAAAGATAGTACCTGAATACGGGGAAAGCAGGGTAATATATTTGACCAAAGAGGCTGCAGTGTTCTGGGCCAAACCTAACCCCACCTGCTTACAACCGATAAAGTTTAAGATTAAGACTGTGGCCGAGTCTCACCAAATACGTTTCTACTATACTAACCAATTGTAAGTAACTATTATTTAATAATACAAAAATCAGTTACTTCTAAATTGTATTTAAAATTTATATTATAACTGTTACAATGGGACAAGAACAACGAACGTTACGAGTGGATTTTTGGTTGCTTGGTCGCCTGATATAAACTCTAAGATGAACGTATTTCAGGTAGAAAAATTAAATTATTTACTTAGTTACATTGATACATTATTTTTCTCTTAATTTAAAAAGTATCCCGTATCAACAATTTGTTCATTTAAAAAATTATCCAACATTATGGCAAATAAACGATTTTTATTTTGGAGGTAGAGGAATTTTTTGAGCTTTTTGATTCGAGGATCATGAAATTATTTAAATTACTTTACACATTCCCATTTTTAAACAACGAGTGACACCAATTAAATATAAGTTACAAAAAGGCATTACTTATAAGTATTTAGCATTGTCATATTGTTATTTGTGAAAATTCTAAAAGGTCTACCTAACAAGTTTTACTTAGTTCTCGAGGAAGAAAATAAGCACTAATACTTAACTAAGATATTCGACAGGTTTAATTTCATGCTGCTTATAATATTATCTATAATATTATCTATCGTTACAAATTGTTTCTTACCTGAATTAAATTTGCCCAATTACCAGGGGGTGAAAGTAGATATCTAGAATATTTTCAAATTGTGAATTGATTAGGTTCTACAGTACTATGTACGAAAGCTTCCTGGGCCACTATTTTTATATAAAAAAATAATATTATCTCGCAACTGTGACTTATTATCTCGCAAGTATGGGTTACTATCTCGCAATTGTTACTTTTTTCTTACAATTGCGGCTTACTATCACACAATTGTGAGTTACTAACTCGTTATTATGATTTTAATATCTCGCAATTGTGACTTATTATCACGCAATTGTGAGTTACTATTTCGTAATTGTGACTTATCTCGCAATTGTGACTTATAATCACGCAATTCTGAGTTGCTACCTCGCAATTGTAACTTATTATCTAACAATTGCGACTTGTTATCACGAAATTGCAAGATACTATATAACAGCACCGTAGTAAATTTATTTGCAGTCTAACATCCATGTAAAGCTGATAAACGAAGAACGTATGGGTGAGGGAGTAGGAGACTGAGAAGAGATTTTTATTGCTAGATATTTGCATCATTGCATTTAATTTTTCTATAATCTATGCCTTTATGCGTTTTAAGTTCTCAATTAATATTACACAAATAAATAATTATTTAGTATAAGTTTTATCAATTTTACATTATGATTGACAAATAAGTAGGTATTTTACCACACTATACAGATCAAAACAACAGACCGAAAGCCAAAAGTTAACTAAACCTAATTTTCTTTTTTGTATTTGAATGGTAAAAATGTCACCATTATAACGAACTATACGATTTTTAATAAAAAGACAGTAGTTTACTATGAGAAAACTATTAATTAAGAAAAATATATTATCGTAGATATAGGGTACTTGTAGGTAGAGAAGAAATATTCTTCGAACTACTTCGGAAAATGGACTTGGAAAAGATGCGTTACCATATTTTTCTCTCTCATGTGTAATAAGTAGGGGAACTACAGATACCTTTCGAGTAGCTGGAGTGGAGTACCGACTCGATCCCAGTAGAAGTAATGTATTTTCAAATGAATAATGAATTCGTTAATAATCTTTTAAGCCCGTATTTATAAACAGATCTCAGCCAAGTCCGACTCAGCTGAGATCTGTTTATAAATACGAGCCTTAGAAATCAAGAAAAGTGCTTTAAATTTGACTTGGTTTCTAATTTTTAAATTAGATTTTTTTCAATAAATTTTTTCAAGGTACCATTCTAGAACTAGAACGCGAGACCGAGACAGGAGACAGAGGCAAGCGACCGCATGAGGCGACCGAAATGTGTCTCTTACGTCTAAATAACATGTATTTAAATGAAGCACATTTGGGACAGCGAGACCGATGCAAAAGATGCGACAACACTTTTAACACGGTACTGTTTGCTGCCTTGATGCTGGTCGCTGTCGCTTGCATCGGTCCCGCGTTTCCAAAGCAGGTCCTAATTTTTGTTATAAATTGTATTTTTATTACAATTTACATTACATTTACAAAAAATGACTATTGTTATGTTTTTAATTTTTATATAAGGATAATAAATAAAAAAATTTATTAGCGGGAGTGTCATTTTTTTAGACGATATTATGGTGCTTTCCTATGTATGGATGTACGAGTACAGGTTCACAATTGCATTATATTAAGTTACAATTGCGAGAAAATAATTCGTATTTATGTCTATTTTGGACAATATAAAGTTCTCCAGTTTATTTATTTTTATGAAAACGTACTTTAATTCATAAAAGTAAGTGCTTCAATCTAGCAATAACTTGGCATTGTATTATAACTGTAAAATCAAATTTTGTGCTACTTATTTAAAAATATTTAAAATGTGTCGGTTATATGCATTTTGACATGTGACAGTAATAACTTATGTCTCCAAAGTTTAAAGTTCATTTTATTAGAAAATAGAAGCATATTAAAATTTGAACTAAAATACTAACTTTGAATATCACAGGTAATTCAGTTTTATTTTAAGACCAATTTGTGAATTCATACGCTTGTTGATTGTTGGTATATTTAAATCTATTTATAGGATTATTCTATAATAAATATTCAGAGGTATGTTGCATAAGATCAGGAGGCTCTTCATAATTGTGACAAGTGGCATGATATAAAAAAACTGATTTATTAAATTTAGAAAAAACGATGCATGATATGTATGCAACGGAACGAGTTGATCTACCAATTATTTAAGTGTTAAAAACTTCCTCAAGAACATTATTTATGACTTTTGTCAACAATTTTTTTTAACTAATATCGCCACCAATCTGACCGATATTTTTCTTGTTTTCAACTTGTTTTTGTAGCCTGTCATCTGTAGCTTATCGTTTGTAGCTTGACTAATTTTTTTGTAAAGAACCTAGGCTTAAGTTTATATATCTTTCATTTTATATTTTATAGAAAATCTCTGAGAAAACAAGAAATAGGTCTAATAAGAAAAAAGTTGAATTACCAGTCATAAAAACCGAATCAAAAAGCATTTACCTCGTAATAACAAGCATATTATTATTAACCATGAATCGTTTTTAGATGAACACAGTGTATAAATAAATCTAACGTTATTTATTTTCTTAAACTACTTCTCATACTATCTGTTCCATCGTTTTCAAACATCTTTTGGGATCTTCCTTTCTTTAAATTTTCACCCGAATTATTAGTAACCTTTATCTCCTTTAATTTGCTTGATGTTAAATTTGGTGAACCGATTCCTGCTTTTCCAGACCTCCTCAGTTTATCGATATACCTTATTTGTTCTTCCCTGCCTTTCAACAGACATCTTTCTTCGTCCGGCGTCATTTCTCTCAACCTTGGATCCATTTTCATCCATTCTGAATCCATTACCTCACCAATATTCATTCTCAGTTGCGAATTCGGTTCCAGTAATTGTCTAACTACCGATTTAACTTGTTCGCTTAATATATCTACAAATTTGGATCTCCATTTCCACGATTTGTTCATCTGTTGACCAATTAGCTCCTTTACGTTCTTATTCTCGAATGGCATTGATTTGTTTAACATAGCGTAGAGTATAACACCCAGAGACCAACAATCTGAGATCTTTGGGTAGTAAGGAGAACCTTTTAGTACTTCTGGGGCTGCGTAATTTAAGGAACCGCAGTAAGTTGAACTAGCCATGTTTTTACCGTCTTCGTTTATTACGAACCTAGCGAAACCAAAATCTGCTAATTTAAGATTGTTATTTGAAGATATAAGGCAATTCTCGCATTTTAAATCTCTGTGGGCTATTCCCATTTCGTGAAGATATTGCAAGGCTAACGCTAATTGCCTAAACCAAACTCTGGCCCTGTTTTCGTTGAGTGCGCCATTGACCAGAAGATAGTCCAGCAGATCGCCTCTATCTGCTATGGACATGAAAACATAATATCTGTATTTTCTTTGAAAAATGCTTTGTATATGGATTATATGCGGATGATTCACCAATGATAATACCTCCAGTTCTCTGGGCAAAAACTTCTTTACGAAATCTTTTGGAGCCTTTTTTAGATCTATTACCTTACAGGCTAGTTTCTTAGGTTCTGTTGTACCTTTGCCTATGTATTCAGTCAAATAAACGGGTGCATACGATCCTTCTCCGATTTTTTTAAAAAGTCTATAACCTTTTTCTAATAGAATTTCTTCATCAGACGCATTTTTAACATGTAGGAGGTCCTTTGGCATTATTTATGAGGGACATCTTTGTTAGCGAATACTGAAATACGGGGAATTTTGAAATTACAAATGATTTGACACAAATGTATTAAAGTTTTGAGGTTAGTTAGAAATGTCTTGTTATTGACTTTATTAAGCCGGATTGTAGTTTTTTTTTGATTGATTTTCATATGTTTTAATATTGGATAAAATGGCATGTCTCTTTCAATATTAAATAAAATAATACCTATTTCGTTTTGAAATAATTAGTAATAATGAATTGAAGAAAATAACAACAATGTATTTTACAATACTTTTGATGAAAGCCCTGAACCAGAGATAAGGGACATAAAGATAGGAAACGCAACGACCGCAGCAACGATGGCGTCATCTATGCATCTCAGATGTTAACTAGAGATATACGTCGTTTGTAGACAGACCAGTATTGCCAAATATTTTTTTGAGATCGTATTAAGCCACATACTTTAATTACTATTCGGGGCAAGAGAGAGGTCCGACACGCCTAACATAGGGCGCGGCCATTTTGAACCCTATGACACAGTTTATAGCTAAAGAATCAGATCGCTCACACTGCGTCGGCACTTTTTATCTCAATGTTCAAGTTTATACACTGCGCAACTCAGATAATACAATATATGATAACCGCCTATAATAAAACAGCAGTCTTCTGCATATCCTGAATTTGTATTCCTGGAGTGGATGTTATTTTGGAACTTTCAACTGGTCCGAGTGAGCTAACTGATTCTTCAGCAATAAACTGTGACTCCAAAAATAATATTCACTGACACTGACAGCAGCAAGCAAAATATCAGGTGCGTTTGAATCATCCGCTACTGCTTCCGGAATTGTCGGTTCAGTCGTTCTAACCTGTCAGATTAAAACAAGAAAACCGACAATTCCGAAGCAGAAGCGGATGATTAAAACGCACCTATTAAAAATATTGCGCCAAGATGTAGGCAACACGTAATAAGGGTTCAAAATGGCGGAGTTTTCTATCTCCTTTTAAAAGGCACTCAGAAAGCTGCGCAGTGCGACCATTCTCCGTATAGTAAAAGAAAATCAAAGTATGTAGGCGATTTTAAATCAGTTACTAGAAATGTGACCAAGTCAAGTGTGGTCAAGGTGCTTACGTCATTATAATGACGTTATATTATCTGATTTAAAAATGTTTGATTTATATTGACACTAACTTGACAATGCGCATGACATTGTCAATCGCGAATTTTTGTGTATTATGTATTGTAGTTAGGATTTGGTTTTGAATTTGTAAGGATAAACAAGTTATAAAAGTAATACTAAAAAACCGACTTCAAAATCGTGCAGATGCCATCACCACATCTTGACCAAATTTAAAGGGGGACCACCTCTAAGTTGTCCCTTTACTAACAAAAAAAAGAATCATAGAAATCGGATAAGGTTGTAAAGAATTACCACTAAACTTACATAAAAAATGAAGAGTTTAAGGATTTTCTAATGGACTCAATTATTAGATTTTGACCAAAATGATATGGGACCACCCCGGAAGTACCCCCTGTCTAACAAAAAAAAACATTAAAACCGGACACCATGTTAAAGAATTATCGCTGAACATACGTAAAAAAATATATATTACGACGAATTGAAAACCTCCTCCTTTTTTGAAGTCAGTTAATATATCTTCAAAAATAAATTGGCTTTTCATTTACAGAAACCTTTTATTGCGTTCATATCTAGGTACTAAGCTAGGGTTGCCAGACGGCTCGCGTTAGGCGAAATTGTTGGCACGCGTTACGCCAAAGTACGAAAATGACCCACATTTTAACTAAATGCTACGCTTTTTCAATCCAAAGTTATAGATAAAGAAATTTTTGACCTTTTTTCAGAATATCCTCAAAAAAAGGACCTGATAGTTTATAAAAAGATAAGTGGAGAACTTTTTTTAGATCTCCACAACGAAAGGATCTTATCTTATAAAAATACCTGTTTTTTAACCTGATCTTTGTCGTCATCGTTATCCCGCTTTTCCCTTTCATAAATCTAGCAACCCTATACTCAGCCTTTCTTTCGATTTTACAAATAACACAACCAAACAATAATTTAATAATTAAAAAGTAAAAGTTTTACATTTGTCATTTCATTTGACATTTCATACCTGTGATGACTACGTTTTTACTGTAGTCATGTTAAACTTGACCATTTCAAGACTATATTCAATATGACGTCATTGTTTTTGATTTATATCAGTGTAGTCAATCATATTCAAGACCAAGTAACTGATTTAAAATCGCCTATTATTATGTGTATTAAGCAGAGATTAGGGACATAAAGATTGGGAACGCAGCGACCGCAGCAACGGTGGTGTCATCTAGCATCTCAGATGTTAACTACAGGTCTACGTCGTTTGTAGAAAGACCAGTGTTGCCAAATATTTTTTTTGAGAGATCGTACAAGTATAGTAGAAAAATGGTATTTCGACAAAAAAAATGTACAATAGATACATGCATAGCATAATATAACTTAAATGGAATGACAAAAAAAAACTTTGGCATGATAATTTATTTATCTATATATAAAAATGTTTACAACGAAAAAAAAAACTCCAGAAAATACATGAAACTTTAAATTAACACATTTAAAGTAACCAATTACTATCACTTGAAAGTGATTGAAATTTTGCATGCTAGCTTTTCTTATGCCATGATAGTCGGTTTACAAAATCACCATGATCAAAATCACGATAAGTCAGAACGAAAATGACTGCTTGCAGAAATTACGAACGGCCTATGAATCTTTGCAAGTAGTTTTTGAGTTTTATTGTTTTATGTTCTGAAGTTGTTGCAGATATTTAAATATTTTTACGTACGATCAAGGTCTGTGGTACAATCTCACTGATGCAATCGTACATCGTACAGAGAGTTAAAAAATCGTATAATTACAATTTAAATCATACGGTTGGCAACACTGAGACAGACAGTAGAGTGATCAGTTTGTCAATATAAATGTCAGTTAGTTTTATGTATATCAAAGAATCCTGAATTTAAATTTTAAATTTTCATGATTGTGTTATCCTCTAGATGAATTAAGCGAAATTGTTGTAGCTGTTTTTGTGTGAAATTTGAGGACAATAAATATATTTTGTAATATTACAATAAGTCGAGGAACGTATTGCATTAGTAACACATGCCACATGAACAATTTTAACAACCCTAATGTGGCGTTATTTAATTATTTAGGATTTAGGATTTGTTTAGAGATCATATGAATTTGTTGTACACATTTTGCATTTTTAGATGCATAATTATTAGAATTTTAAATTAAATTGAGATTTGAAGAAAAGTACTGTAGGAAAAAGGTTGTTATAAATAAAACACACCCACACGGACTATTAATTTTAATATACCAAAATGCGAAAAACACGTATTACAAAAATCAAATTAATAAAAAATCTCAATGTGAAAAATACACACCAAAAGGCACAAAATTTTAGACAAAGGAATATGCACTAACTCCTAAAAAATACAAGGTAAACGCAAACTGCTTGTATTCATTAGAATACCTTTTAGCTAGAGGCTCTTTGTTTTTAAATTCCGCTTGAGATTTAACAATATCTGCAAATGGTTGGTTTAAAAATTTTGGTATAACCGAAGGATATTTTTGGAACTGGCACATGTATTATCGAAATAGAAACAAGAATATCTCTTCAATCTTCAAAGAAAGTCATTCTTTTGCTGGGACCTAAAAAAATATATAAATTAAAAAATACATAAACACAACACTTTTATATTATTTTTAATGTCTGGTGTACTGAGAAACTCGTCGTGGGATTTAGTAGTAGATGTTGAGGGTACAGATTCATTCAGAATGACTAATTGCAATATATATTTTATTAAGTAGATACCCATTTATCTTTAGACTTTTAGTTTCAGATAAAATATAAATTTTGATAGCACTTCGATAAAACCTAAATGGTAAAAAAAGGCCAGTAAAGTAAAACACTAAAACGCCCTCCTTCTATACGAGAAACAAAGTGTCGGACATCCTCAGACGAAAAGATGGCTATTGAATTGGAGATTCTCTTGTTTTTCACCGTTATGAGATTTTCATAAGACGTGTGAGATTGATGTTATGAATTCTTTTCGAATCAAAGTAGGCCAAGCGGGGATTTTCGGATGTTTGCCGAGCGTCAGAATGATTGTGATGGAAATTTTCTATGAAAAAGTCCTAAATTCTGGTTTATTATCAATCTACAACGAAATGTTATGTATGAGTTTTGATTTCGAGTCATTTTTCATGCCGGAATAAAAATGTATGTATATACGATGAATATTTTGATGCGAAATATGATAAAAATGGAAACTGAGTCAGCAACATATTTTCAAGTATTATGCAACGCCACTGTTGGACTGCTCCTTAAATAATTCTCGATTTAAATTAGGTTTTCCGCTCCTGTCATTTGTCACTATACTTAGGCGAATTGGTTGCTTACATTTTACATTGTGTTTTGCTTCTTTAATTGTCTTTAATATAGATATTAGTATCATATCGGTGTTAAAATGTTTTATTTAGTGATTTAATGTATACGAATAAAGAAGTAAATCATGAACTGTAAATATCAGAATACACTTTAAAACTTTTCTGAAATCAACTCGCTAGGTGCCCTCTACCTACAAACAAAAATAGGAACCTCTACCCTTAGATAAACAAATGAAATATAAGTAAGTTACAGGTGCCGTTTAACATAGGCTTTATTTGAAATATGAAGACTAAAGAGAAGTCAATGTAAATTGAAGTTATTTTTAAAAAAATGTTGAAAATAATGAAACTAATGTGAAGAAAAGTACCTGAGTACAAGTAACATGAGTGACAAAAAACAAATGTAAAACTAAAGAAAATACAAGGAAAAATCAATTCAATGTCTTTTTAAAGGTTCTAGTGTAAGTAAAATAACGTATTTATGTCTAATATAATAATTATTGCAAACTAGTCACAGGACATATCTTACGTAATGAACTTTGTTTTATTACCAGTTTTTATAATATAAAATTTTACAGTCATTGATCCTGACTTACAAACAACAATAATTACATATTAAAGGACCCTGCTCAATCCTTATGG